GAGATGGCGCAACCCCGCCCCTCCCCGGGCCGTTCGCGGCGCATGCGCGGGCGGGCCGGGGCTGTGTGCAGGACCAGCGCGGAGCCGAGCAGCCGCGGGAAGCGCCCGGGCTCCGCCGAGACCGTCGTACGCGCTCTCGCCTCGGCAGCCGCCGCTTCAGCCGCCGCCGGGGAGCGGCCGCCCATTGTCTCTCTCCGCGGCGAAGGTGCGGAGCTGTTCCGGCTCGGCCGCGGGGAGCCCGGAGCCGCACGGTGAGAGCGCAACTTAGTTGGCGGAGTTGGGGGAAGTTTGTGATTCGAGGAGGGTCGGGCGGGGGCGCGGGCGCTCCTGTGCGGCGGCTCCTCGGCCGGGCCGGGAGGAGGGCGGGGGCGCGGGCGAGAGGGGCGCGGCGATGAATGGGCGGCGGGGGCGCGCCGCCGGCTGCGAGGACCTCCTCCCCGCATCCTGCTCCCGCATTGTCCGCCCGGGCCGCGGCGCGCTCCCGCCCGGGCTCCCGCTGCCGGCGCCGCCGGGGCTGGCTTCCTCTCCTCGGGGCCGGGCGGCCCGAGTCAGCCGCGAGCGAGTGCTGCGGCGCGAGGGAGCCGCTCCCCGGGCCGCCGCCGACGGTAAACACTTCGGGCCGCGCCGCCCGCCGGCCCGCCCGCCCGCCTGCCTGCCTGCGGGCCTCCCGCGCTGCGCCCGGGGCGCGGCTGCCTGACCCGCCCCCGTGCGGTCCGCGCGCCCGGGAGCGTGCGGCGGGCTCCGCTTGCAGAGTAGCGCGTGTTTGCAACAGAGTAGTTTTCTCAGTTTGCTTCTTTCTTGTAGAATTTGGTAATTCCAAGGCATCTTTTCATTTGTACTATCTCAGCCTCTTTCATTCCAAGCTGGTCATATTTCTGCTATATAATTAGTTTAGATATTTAGTGGTTCTCCTGAGAATATTAATGAGGATTCATGCCATTAGACTAAGGCCATACTTGCAAGTCTTTTTAATATAAACACTTCTCTACTTTGGGCTTCTGCTGAGATACAACACCCTTAAGCTTCTTAGAATCCCTATTGTTTGATCAAGAGGATCTGTTCATCATATCCTTAAAATCTTAAGAGGCTTTTTGCTTAACTGAACAATACTGTAAGGTGCCACCTTTAAGCTTTCTGAAATTTTAAAAATGGACTTTATAGACACACCCTTGACTTAATCTTCAGACCAGGTTTCCCTAGCAGTATCCCAGATTTGATGTTTTAATTTTAATATCATTAAATATTAATATCATTTGCCATACAGAGAGTTTGGGACTCTTCAAACCTAGCTCCTTTTTGTTTAACAATCCTTCCATTAGTTTATCCCTCTTTCTTGCATTTTTACTATAAGAAGCAAGAAGAAACAAGGTGGCATCTTCAGGGATGGACACATGATCCAAGCTGAGCCAATGAAAGACAGCCCTGAGAATGTAGATGAAAGTATTGGGATACAGAACCCCTCATTTCATTGGGAGTACAGATGTGATAGAGTGAGGGCCTGAAGCTTCTAATGGTCACTAGTGTCTAATGTCAGTATGAGGGAAGAGGTTTCTCAGAAAGCAAGGCAGAGGAGAGCAGAGCCAAAACAGGGTGATGGGGAAAAACTGGAAATCTCCTTAACTTGATCTCCCAGTTCATTAGGTACCTTTTCTACCACCCACACTACTACAGGCGGCATTATTACTAAACCTTCTGCTACTGTACAAAAAAATCTCCTTTTATCCAGTTTCCAGTAAGATTTTCCTTGCTGTCCTTGAAGTCCTCATTGGCAACCTTCTTGAAGGCTGTAATGCTACAACTAGTGTGTTCAAGACATTTTCAGCTTTCACTAGTACTCTCTTCAAAATCCTTACAGCTCTTCCAGCTTCTACTCACTTCCTGGTTCCAAAGCAATTCCAACATCTTATATTTTTACTGCATCAGCACCCCGCTCTTGGTACCAGAATCT